ACTTTGGTAACTATTGCTGGAAAAGGGATTATAAAAACCATACCATCACTGCCTTTGAAATATGTCCTTCACGTTCCTAAATTGTCTTTTAATCTGCTGTATATTCAAAAGCTCACATCTGACCTAAATTGTTCTGTAACATTTTATCCTACACACTGTGTATTTCAAGATCAGACCACAGGGAAGATGATTGGGCGTGCTAAGGAACAGGAGGGACTTTACTATCTAGGCACGAGTGATGGTGGCAATAAAAACGATTATATTCCCCAGTCTTACATATCTGAAAATCAATCTACAAGAAGAGCTCAGATTTGGCTCCATCATGTTCAAATGGGTCATCCATCTTTTTCACTATTAAAAACTAGGTTTCCTTTGCTGTTTCAGAAAATAAATGTCAACGAGTTTCATTGTGAAGTGTGCCAAATGGCCAAGCACCATAGAATTTCCTATCCTTTGAATAATTCAAGATCATCTGAACCTTTTTCTTTAGTCCATACAGATGTTTGGGGACCATCTAGAATTTCAAATATTAATGGGGCTCGTTGGTTTGTTTCCTTTATAGATGATTACTCTCGAACTACTTGGCTTTTCTTGATGAAAAATAAATCCGATGTGAGTGTTATTTTTCTCATATTTCATAAAATGATTCTTACACGATTTGGGATTTACATTAAGTATATTCGTTCTGATAATGGGAGAGAATACTTTAATCAAGTGATGTCACCGTTCCTTCAAACACATGGCATAATTCATGAGTCTTCTTGTGTCGACACCCCAGAACAGAATGGGGTTGCAGAAAGAAAAAATCGACATCTTCTAGAGGTTACTCGCGCTCTATTGTTTGAGAAAAATGTTCCTAACTTTTACTGGGGGGAAGCCAGTTTACAGCCACGTATCTCATTAATCGATTACCCAATAGAGTGTTACAAAACAGGTCTCCCATTGACGTATTGTCAAAATCATTTCCTCATATTAAACACTCACAACTTCCCTTACGAATTTTTGGTTGCATTGCCTATGTTCACATTCAGCAAAAAGACCGAAATAGTAAACTTGATCCAAGAGCCTTAAAGTCAATTTTCTTACGATATTCCTCAACACATAAAGGGTATAAGTGTTATCACCCAAATACTAGGAAATTCTACATATCAAAAGATGTCACTTTCGCTGAAAATCAAGGGTTCTATGATCAAACTTGTCTTCCGAGGGAGCCTAGGTTAGAAGACAATTCAGACTTAAATTTTCTCACTTTTGATCTTAGCTTAAGTCCTACCCGAGAAACAATCTCAAACCCTCCAAATAATTCAACCCCTCTTCTCAGTCCAGACCGAGATCCTACGGCAAGATCATTTTGTCAGTCCAAGCCGTGATCATTCAAGTTCAAGTCCTACCCATGAAAATCTAAACGCAATTTAAGTCCATTCTCGTCAAGTAAATAACCATCCAATGTCTCCATTGCATGAGTACTCGAGAAGGAAGCCTAATCCTGAACCGGTGATGGCCCAACCATCAGAACCCGTGCAAGATCAAGCTTCAAAAACTGATCCCTTACCACAAGAATTCCTGATCTTTATCTGCCTATTGCACTCAGAAAAGGAACACGAAAATGCACACAACATCCTATAGCCAATTTCATCTCATTTACCAATCTTTCTCCATCACATAGAGCCTTTCTCACCGAGTTAAATGCTATTGAGATTCCAAAAACTGCTCAAGAAGCACTTAGAAGTGGGGAATGGAAAAAAGCTATGATTGAGGAAATGAGAGCACTTGAAAAAAATAAAACTTGGGAAATTGTTGAGTTGCCTAAAGGAAAAAAATTAATTGAGTGCAAGTGGGTGTTCACAGTAAAGTATAATGCAGATGGGACACATATAAAGCCAGGCTTGTTGCCAAAGGCTATACTCAGACATATGGGGTAGACTATGTAGAAACGTTTGCACCCATGGCAAAACTAAACACCATTCGAATATTATTATCCTTGGCAGCCAATCTTAATTGGATTTTACAGCAAGTTGATGTGAAAAATGCTTTTTTACATGGTGATTTAGAGGAGGAAGCCTATATAGAACCACCACTTGGATTCAATCAAGCCTTTGGAACTAACAATGTGTGCAGGTTAAGAAAAGCTCTCTATGGGCTGAAACAGTCTCCAAGGGCATGGTTTGGAAGATTCACCAAAGCCATGGAAAGGATGAAGTTCAAGCAGAGCTTAGGAGATCATACACTCTTCATCAAACGATCAAAGGAGGGGAAGATCACTGCCTTAATAGTCTATGTGGATGACATCATTGTGACAGGAGATGATGCTGAAGAGATCAAGAAACTGAAAGACCATTTATCTAGGGAGTTCGAGATAAAAGACCTAGGAAAGCTCAAGTACTTCCTAGGAATTGAAGTTGCACACTCAAAAACCGGGATTTTCATCTCTCAACAAAAATATATCTTGGATCTACTCAAGGAAACAGGTATGATGGGATGCAAGCCTTCAGAAATTCCTATTGATTATCATCACAAATTGGGAGAAGCTGTAGATAGTCCAGAAGTTGACAAAGGAAGACATTAGAGGCTAATCGGGAAGTTCATTTATCTTGCTCATACAAGATCAGACATAGCCTATGCAGCAAGTGTTCTAAGTCAATTTATGCATGCACCTCGAGAGACACACCTACAGGCTGCATACAAAGTTCTTCAATACCTCAAGGGCACTCCTGGAAAAGGAATCCTATTCAAAAGAAATGGAAGGCTAAACTTGGAAGCATACACAGACGCGGATTGGGCCAGATCTCTTATTGACCGAAGATCCACCTCGGGGTACTGTGCCTTTCTTGGAGGAAACCTCATAACTTGGAGAAGTAAGAAACAGTTAGTAGTCTCTAGATCAAGCGCCGAAGCTGAGTTTCGAGCAATGGCTCAAGGAATATGTGAGCTATTATGGATAAAAACTATTCTAGGAGACCTAAGAGTGAAATGGGAAGGCACTATGAAGCTGTATTGTGACAACAAATCAGCTATCAATATCGCACACAATCAAGTACAACATGATCGAACAAAGCATACGGAAATCAATCGCCATTTCATCAAGGAAAAATTCGAGAATGGACTTATTTGCACTCCTTGTATTCCTACAAACAAGCAACTGGCAGACATTCTAACGAAGGGACTCCCTAATGCAGCGTTACAAAGTATTACCAACAAAATGGGAATGGAAAACATACACTCAACAGCTTGAGGAGGAGTGTTGACAAATCTGTCAAGATTCGTTGACTCAAATTATTAGGAAAATCATTCTCTGATTTGTCCTCTGATTCTCAAGGAAATCATTCCCTGACTTGTCCAGTCAATGGTAGGATTCTTAGGGATAGTTCCCTGATTTATTGAGTCAATGCAAGCTGTGAGTGATAGGATAGTTAGCTGTCAATTTCAAAAAGTAATTCCTTGATTCTTTTGTAATTAAGAATTTCCTAGTATAGGTTGTATACTAAAATACTATGTACTCTATAAATAGCTGTAAGCTTTTCCTCAATGAATAAGACATACAATTTTTTGTTCTAAACAACATAACTTTAGCTCCCTAAAGCGCATAATTTTAAACTTTTGCTATTTCAACAAGCTGATGTAAAGAGGGAATCTGGTGAAGCATGTTATTAAGTATACGAGAGTGTGCTCCTAACAGCCAAATGGCATGTCCTCTGCTGCTTTTTTGAGGAAAAAGGGACTAATGACGTTAGTAAGGATAATTTTCCTATTTCGGAAGCTTATTGCATTGTTTTTTTATATCCCCAAAATCTTAAGAAAACACTCATTGAGCTCGAGTTCAAAATTGGAGCTCCAGCCGAGTCACACGATCTTTGAATACCATGAAACTCATGGAATAACCACCACGCACTTGGCGTCTTGAGGACCAAACCTAACCACTCAACTAAACCCACAAAGTTTTATAAGCTATGATAAGCCTCCTTGCTTCAGCAGCAATATTTACACAAAAAATTGAGATTATACCATCCTCCAAAACATCCCATCCCTCTGTAATACAAATGGATGAACACGCCAACATAAATTCAACCTCACATGAATTTGTGAGAAAATTAATGGAGAAAATAACAGGAGATAAATCGTAGGCAGTAATAAATGCATAAAACCTATCCGCAACTGAGCCAAGACTTTTGTGTACCCACGTCTGGTCTATTAGTGCAAAAGTCTGTTTGTGCATTGAGTTCTCTATTCAACAAAATGTTGAGCAAAATATGGTTAAATTCACCAGCATAACCAAAATCATTTTTAATGCATGAACTATGCGAACTCCTATTTAAACATCATAAATCATAATCTTCATAAAGTCTGGAGATGCGTCAAAGCATGAAGAAAAACATCATAGTCAAATTAATAGCGATGGCATATCAAATGAAATAATCCTACATTGATAATTTTCCTTGGAAAGAAGCCTACTGAAATTTGCATATGTTTCACTATTTATAGCAAACAAACCAGAGCAGCTGAAAAATCCACAAACAAGAAGCTACGCTTGACATTGAAAATACAAGATAAAAAGTTTTCCTATTGCAGCCAACAGACTTCCGATATTAATAAACAAATAAAAACCATAACAAATAGCCAGTTGCTTATGAGCCATGAAAGACTTATTTCACATGTGATACAACATTAAAAAAAAATTACAAGAAAGAAAAAGTTCTGAAATAAGTAAATCCAACTTCTTTGAGTGGAAAATTATCGACGGAAACAAAATGAGAGAAAAAAATATATATAAGTAGAGCATCTAGTGTGCAGATATTCAGCATCTACAATTTGACTATCTTGGCCGTTTACTCGGCCTTACTTAACATGGTTGTGCATACCCGCACTATACATTTTTTATAGACCCAAAAACCTAAACAACATAAGATTACATCTGACGATATAATCATAGCACAAAATTTCCTACCTATGATGCCTCATCAAAAGAATTTGCAACATGGTCAAATCAAAAAGCATTTCTTTACCTACTCCCCTTCTTTGGACCAGATACCCCATCTTTGGACTTTTCACCTGCCATCCGTGAATGAATAAAAAGGTCCATACTTTTATTAATGTGTCCCGGCAATAATACTAAAAAATCCAGTGTGAAGCATAAATAACTAGAAGAAAATAAAACCTTGAAAATCCAATTCTACCATCTCTGGAACAGAAAGAAGAATACAGTTCTTTTCTTTCCAAACACTGACCTTCATTATCAGTCTTTGACTTGTCATTGGGATTGATCATCCCTCCGCGGACGAAAGTTTTTGACCCCGGCGTGCTGTCCCCTTGAAATGACTCCACAAACTCCGCATATAAACGAGCAGTTTCATCCTCAGCTCTCTAGAAAAAAGAAAGACCAAAACGAATTAAAAACACTGAAACAAAAGACCAAATCAAATTCGAAAAATAACCCAGTTAATAAATACTCCCACCTTTTTCTTTGCCTCCTCCTCTTCTCTATGCTTCTGGAAGGGCGTCTTCTTCCGCGTAATCGAGAAAGAACTCATCTTAGCATGAAGTTCTGCGAAAAGTTTCAAACAAGTTATCAACTTTTGGTACTCAAATTCAAAAATTCTCAAAACCAACATCATCGTCAAATTGCGTAGTGCAGCAAAGAAGCTTTATAGAGCTCAAAAACAAAATTAGGATCACAGAATTAGAGATTTTTTATGACAAAAAAGAAAACTACCCCGTCCAAACTCATGAACCAAGCACATTTGGTTCCAACACACGAAAACCAACCTAAAATTTCAACCCAAAAAGCTGAACTCATCCAATCTGACAAATGAGGGTTTATTCTTCCGAAAATTCAAACGAAATCCAGAAGCTGATTCGAGTGGATTATCAAAACATTGAAACTTAAATGTCGAAAACAAACGAAGCCGGATAATCACGCAAACGAATCACAGTAACCGAAGAGCCAAAAAGAAAACGAAAGGTAAAGTTGGAAGAAATAACGAACCTTGTGAGATTGGAATTGATCAATATTTGCTTCTTAGGGCTTTTTTTTTCCTGAAGCTGTTGAAGAAGAAGAAGACGACTTGGCCGAGTTGTTGTTGGGGATTTTCGCGAAACAAAACCGAGTTGAACCGGGTCGAGTCCCCGAGACGATTCGATACGAGAGAGAAGCCAGTGAGTGGGAGTTATGCGTGAAAAGTTTTTGAAATTTAAATTACTATTTAGCCCCTCGACCGTGGAGCTTTTCTTATTTTTTTACCGACAATTTGTTTGGCGGCGGAGACCAAAACGGTAATTAGGGTAAACGTCCTGCTTTGAGTGCTTTTCTTCTGTCTTTTTTTTTTCCAAGGATTTTTATTAAATAAGATAAGAAAAAAAAATCAAATTGAATTGAGTATAAGGCGTGAGAGATAGAACCAGAAGAAGAAAAAAAGGATTTACGAGATAAACAAGAGCTCAAACTAGAAGCTCTATCCTCTACATATATATTTTAAATTGTTCTAAAAAAAAATAAACATAAAATGTTAACTAGAAGCCAAATCCTAAAACAAATCTAATAATATTATTCCTAAGAGATAAACATAATGATCTAAATATACCTTATAACACAAATTGCGATATCAAACAAATTGTAACACATCACGCAACTAACTAGCTTGTAATGAGAAATGAAATAAACAAAACATTAATTTTAAGTTTATGAAATCTACAAAATTTTAACACCCACCTATAATATTCACAATAACGCGTATTATTGCTTGAAAAGAAAATGGGGCAATACCATCCTAAATTAAATGTAAAATCACGACTGCAATCCCAATGCAGTATGATAGATTTTATCTATAATCTGGCAAGGTTCATCAACTGCGGTCCATTATATACGGACCAACAATGAATGTTACACAGAGTACAGATTTTGGTACAAAGCCGAGCTCTCCAAGCATACTAAAACTTAAGCAGAAAGCCATTACATTACTGGTTATATATGTAAAAACAAAAGAGAGTGCAAATTCCCATTCTAAACAGCACACCATAAGAACCAAATCCCACATAAGGTTCAAATTATACACTTCATATCTAAATCCTCTTTGCTAGTAGTAATAATGGAAGTAAGCTGCTGCGTCATCATCAAACTTTATATGTGATTTAATGGGCCAATTTCTTTAGGTGTTGAAACGTTCGCTGTTTTATCCATTGTCTGTCGTATGGCAAGTATGCCTGAATCGAGTGATCATAACTGCAAACCAGAACCAACAAGCAAAGATATCAGATTCCGGCCAAAATAGGCGACAGTAATGGCTATCCATAGAGAAACATTGTCAAACCATTTCACGTCACAAGCAACGCATATAAAGCAACAAGAAAGACAAATCTTAATAGACAAACAAGCAAGCGCCCAACAAATTTTCATGTGCTAGAACAAAAACAAAGAGAGGCACTAAATACTCAAATGGTGATCAAGAAACTACTAATAGGATTTAGCCTGCAGAACACAAAGTCATAACTTTTTCTATGAAATTAATAACAGGTTAACCTCCTTTTCTTATAACAAGTTCATAAGAGGCAGCCGCTGTAATACTTGCTAATAAGAACATCTCCAATGCCAATGTTAAATTTCACATTTGAATAAGAAATCCTTTCTCCAACGTAATATCATACTTAATGTCAAATTTGGCGTATGCTGCTTATTGGCTGACATGTTGACTTCTAATAATTACAACATTGCCATTTTCCAATTATTCAAAATTTTAAATTCTCCTTTTAAAAGTTCCAGAGCTTAAAATATTATCTAGCATTTAAAATAGCATTATGACCACAAAATAAAACAACATATCAAATTCAAATATGTTACTTTCACACTTTTTATAGCAGTAGTATTGGAATTTGCATTGTAGATGGTCTAAGGTGCCTCTCTTTCTACTGATAATTATTTAGAAGCACACTTCTATTTTCACCTCGTAAAAGTTCTCATGGTCTTTTATGACTGCCCATAAAAGTAGCGGATAAGAAGAGAGAGAGAGAGAGAGAGAGAGAGAGAGATACACTAGAGCGCTCATGTCTGCAAGACCATCAATGAAGTTGTAGAGATAGCGGATAAGAAAACAGTTCTCTTCTAATGATTCACAAGATACCAATAGAGATAGCACCATACATCTTAAACATGGCATAAGAAACCAGGAAGCTACCTTATCATAACGAATGTGAAAACATTTAAGACTGGCATGGATCTTCGAGAAGAGAGAGAGAGAGAGAGAGAGAGAGAGAGAGAGATACACTAGAGCGCTCATGTCTGCAAGACCATCAATGAAGTTGTAGAGATCTGCAATGTCATAGGATATGTTTCTAATTGCTGGATTTAACTCCTTCAGCTTCCTCTCATATAGTCCGCATATACCTACACATGTGCAACAGCAAAGACCTTATTGGATATCAATAGTTCAGATACTGCTAAAATGCTGATAGTGATATTCTCTTTGTTGGAATCAATGCACAGAGGAGAATAAAAGAATTTTCAATAGTGGAGGCTAGTGTTGCATATTATAAAGTTTTATAGCTCAGTCTTCAGTTTTTCTTTTCTAAAATCAGCCTAATAACTCAATAAACTTCTAGCAATTCCTTGTCTCCCACATTCAATAGTTCGCGCAAGATTGTCATTCTGCGATTTAGCTTCATGTTTGAATATAAGCCCTCATGTATTGATACCTGACACTAAATACTAAAGCAAATGCACTAGTTGCAAATTTCTTCTGACGGATACTGAAATATAATGGTTGAACGATATAGATTTCCACTCCTATATAAGCTTAAAGCCCGAAATCCACTTTTCCAGTCTGCAACATCTACATGAATTTTCCAAAACCCTAGCATTAAAAGCTACTGACTATACCCTTTGTCTAATAACTGAAACTACCACAGAGTCATTTATACATTAAATTGTGAACATGTTAGGTACTGGGTATTATTGTTAGTAATTAGTAGTTAGTTAAAGAGTATAATTGACTAGAGGGTCATTTGTTAGCATTGGGTTAGAAGGCAAGTATTAGTGTTATTAGTATAAAAGGGAGTGGGCAGTGAGTAGGGACGTTAGGCTGAGATTTGTGAAGAATTTGGAAAACCTTAGGAGAGTTGGTGGTCTCTCGAATACCACCAATTAGGAGTCCTGGAGTACTCGAATTCTCCGATCTATCCGTTTATTTTCCATTTAGTAGTGTAATCGGTGTTTGGATAGTGTCGATTAATAAAAGAATTCCCTGATTTCCATCCAATTCCTTTGTCGAATTCTGGATTGTTGTGTGTTTGTTTGGCTGTTTTGCTGAGGAAAACTCAGGTTCCTAACAGAACATATATATAACCAGCAACTCCGTAAGCTCAACCATTAACCACGGAGGACCAGAATACTCGAACAAGATTTTTGCTTATAAAAGTGCAGCAAGAAACAAAGGCAACCATATGAAAATATACCATCTATAGCTTGACTTATCGAAGCATAATCCATGAATGTTCTAGTTGCTCTGTTCTGAGAAGTTTGCATCAAAATGATAGTGTGCTTGTTAGCCTACAATAACAGAAACAACTTAGAAAATTTAGTCAACGCTCTCAAATGACCAAAAGTAAGTGACAACCAAAATAACTAGCATCAAGGAAACATCTCAGGGAAAACTCTACAGATAACCAACAAAATCAAAAGTTTGATTAAAAATAAATAACTAAATGAAAAGCAAGTAAAAAAGCCCTAGCCTTTTATTTGGTTCCCCAAGAACCGAAATGAGAAAATAAGCTTAATTTCTCAGCTATTATCTTACTCCAAGCACAGCGATAATGGAAGCCCCGACTAACAATTTCAACTTTTCCCAAAACAAAAAAGCCCCAAAATGAAATAAAAGTAAGTAATTAAAAAAAAATAATAGTGCTCTTTACTTTCTGAAATTTTCAAAAGAAACAAACAGAGACTTGAAAAGGGGGCGGATATTAAACAAGCAAAAAAATAAAAACAGCGAAAACCCTAATTTCTTCAGCAAAAAGGAACTTTAAAAATTGGAAAGGAATTGCAGACAGGATATTGAGATAATCAGTAGACAAATTCATTGAAATATCTTAGCCTGGAAGAAAAATAAACATAAATCAAACGAGATTCCGAGGAGGAACAGAAAAATGGAAGTGGAAAGAGAAAGAAGAAAAAGGATTATACCATGACAGAGGGTGACGCCGAAAAGCTCAGAGAAAGCTTACAAATGGTTCCCTAATTACAGCAACGCGAACGGCGATGAGAAAGAGAGTGCGAGAGAGAGGGGAAAAAAGAAGAAAGACCGAGACTTGAAGGACATACGCCACTGACTTCAGGCCACGCCATACCCAGGGCAAAACCAACCCATTCATGTGTGTGGGACCCGCTTTTATTCTTTAAAAAAAAAAAAAAAAAAAGGTTATTGTCAAAATAAAAGCAAAAAAAAAAAACCAAAAACAAAAAATGGTCCTCTACAAGGGTTATTGTCAACAACAAGGACATACAGCAAAGCAGTGTCCTACCTTCCGTTTCATCCCATGTCAGTCCACCTCGTCTCGCCATCACATCAACCAATAGCTCACATAGCCACTAACGAGACGCCTACATGGCTTCTTGATAGCGGAGCTTCCCATCATGTCACAGTAAACCTTAACAACCTTTCAACTCATTCTCCGATGATAGCACTGACGACATTCTTAAAGGCGATGGTTCAGGTCTCACATCACACATACTGGTTTTAGAGTTGTCAAATGGTCGGCCCGTCAGCCTGTAAGGGTGCAGTAGTAGTAGTGGTGTTCGGTTTTATCAGTTTTAGTCGGTTCGGTGGCCGAACCGACTATATCGGTTTTTTAAAAATTAGAACCGAAACTGAACCGCACTTAACATTTTCGGTTCGGTTAACCGAATTTCGGTTTCGATTCGGTTTCGGTCAGTTTTGGTCGGTTTTCAATTTTGATAATCAGGAAGATGACCTCAGTTAACCATCAAGTTATCAGCATCTTTAATTGCATTTTTGACCCGCAAGTACGAAAAAATGTAAAATTTTCCTTCAATGTAAAGTTACAAACACGTAATCACAATAAATGAATACAAGCACAACATCAAAATTGATAATTGCACAAACACAAGTTTAAAAAACATTTAAATTGTCATAAGTAAAACAAAACGAAAACATAAAAAAAAAAAAAAAAAAATCTCATCTCGGTCGGTTCGGTTTTAACCGACTCTCTACACGCAAAACTGAAACCGAACCGACTTTTGAGGAAGTCGGTCGGTTAACCGAACCGACTGTGTTCGGTTCCACGTGGCATCGTCGTTTTCGGTTTTAAGCGGTCGGTTTTTCGATCGGTTTTACGGTTTTTTTTTGTATACTCCTAGAGTGTAAGGTTCAGCATGGCTCAATACGATACTGTTACGAGCCGTGTTGACCTGATACTGATGGGTTCGGGCTGCAGCTTCTCAACCCGCAGCTCAAGCCTGGCCCTAGCCCTTGAAGTCCCGAGGCCCGACCTAAGCCCAGTTCGGCCTAAGCATGTGTTCGGCCCGCGATATGGCCCTTGTTCGCCCCGGCCCAGGCAAGTGTTCGGCCAGCAAAACGGCACGCCAAAAGTCCTTCCAGCCCGCTAGGAGGCCCATCACGGGCCGACTGTTGGGCACGCGAAGGGCCCAATGGTCACAAGCCGAAAACCCACCCCAAAAAATCCTATAAATACCTCTTAATCTCACACAATAATTCACTCTTAACTTCTTATCTCACTCTCATCTTGTCTTTTTGATATTGATTCTAAGTTTTTCTCTCTTGATTACTCATTTTCTTGCTCTTTTATTTATAAAGTTCAATCAATTTCCATAAATCTTGGAAAAAAAAAATGTATTATAGTTATCAATTTTGTTACATAACATTATATTACTCAAGTTTATTTATATTGTTTATTGTTTATAAATTAACGAATTAACATTAGTTTATGTTTTTTTTCATAAAATAGCCGCATCAAATTTTCTTGATTTCACTGCTCTCCATAAGCTGGGTGATGAGCCATTTTACGAGGATGAAATGTTGGCCCACAACACCACCCCCACTGAATCAAAAATTACTCTGGTTGATAATGCTTCAGTGCACAACGAGGAAGTTGGGGAACGTATCAGAAAAAAAAAAGACCGCGAACTTCTCCCGCATGACAACATTTCACAGAGGAGCCCCGACCAAATCTAAAAATATGTGAAATTAAAATTCGTGCGGTATGTAAATATTATAAAAAGTAGTTTTCTAATAAAAATGGTGGAGGTACTGATCATCTAGATAGACATTGAAAAGCATGTCCACCGTTGCACCAAGGTGGGAGTACGAACTCCCGTCAACAAACACTATCACTCACATCACAAGGGTTGCAAAATTTTATATACGATGCACAACGTACTCGTGAAGCACTAGCTAAATTTTTAGCTAGTGCCGAATTATCTCTTTTTTTTGCATATAATGCGACGTTTGAAGAATTCATACAGACGGCCTTATGCTCACAATTTAAACGGGTAAGTAGAAACACAACTCGTTTTGATTGCATAAAAGTGTTTTATGCAATGAGACGATCTCTAGTTGATAATTTTAGGTCTTTTAATGCTATTATATCTTGTACTTTTGATCTTTGGGAGGGGTATAATAAAATTATATATTTATGCCTCACAGCGCATTATGTTGACAATGAATGGGTTTTACAAAAGAAAATAATAGGTTTTCATTTATGTCTATTTCCTCATAACGCAAATGCTATTTTTAGAAGAATAATGGATATTTTTTAGTTTTATGGGATAGAAGATAAAATTTTAACTATTATTTTTGATAATGCGTCAACTAACACGGCTGCAATTAACATGTTTAAACGTAGTTTGAAACTAACGTTTGGTGGTGAAATTTTTCATCAACGGTGTGGCTGCAATTAACATTTTTAAACGTAGTTTGAAACCAGCTTTTGGGGGCAAAAATCTTCATCAACGGTGTGCGTGTCACATAATAAATTTAGTAGTACAAGCAGGAATTGAACATATTTCCTCTAATCTAACAAATATTAGAGAAGCTTTATCCTTCATATTTAGTTCTGGAGCTGGAGCTCGGCTCCAAGAAATTTGACAATATTGCAGGAACAACCAGATGCGCCTAAGAAAGTTTCCAACAGATGTGAGACATAGGTGGAACTCCACCTACTTAATGATGAAGGTTGCAGTTTCGTATCAATAGCTCATAATAACGTATGTGAATAGTAAGAACGATCAGCTTTTAATTTTCGATACATATTGGAAAATTGGTGAGTACTTTTTTAAATTTCTAGAAGTTTTCTACAATGCTACTAAATTATTTTCTAGAGTTTATTATCCTACTGCACATTTAGTTTTGCATCAACTATTTAATATTTCGGAAACATTTTATTTTTATAGGGATACTGAACTTTTTGGAACTATAGTTAAGCTAATGGAAGCTAAATTTAAAAGTTATTAGTCCGGTTGTCCTATGTTATATACATTAGCAATCATTTAAGATCATAGATGCGGAGTAGATGAGACCAAATCTTTGATGACTGCTACGGCAGGAAATTTAGGTATTGATATACAACTAACTATTACTAAAGCTAGGAAAATATTAGAAAAATTATTTAGTTTGTATGAAGCAAAATACGGAACAAGTTAAAAAGAATAGGGAACTTCGACGTCAACTAGCAGTTTGGGGCCTAAAGGCTCATCGTGTAGCTTCTTGAAGAAGAAAGAGAAAACGTCATGATCGTCAACAACACAAGCGTCTACCGAACTGGTAAAATATTTTGAATCAAATTTTTTAATCGATGACGACAAACTGGACATCTTACAGTGGTGGAGGAGCAAGGCCGATCATTTGTCTAACACTGTCCATAATAGCCCGTGACATTTTGACAACTCCAGTGTCAATAGTAGTGTCGAAGCAAGCATTTAGTGCAAGCAACCGAATTCTTAACAAGAAGAGAAGTAGAATGTATCCAGATATATTAGAGGGGCTAATGTGCGTTAAAAACTGTGAAGATGCCAGAAGACGAAAACAACACTATACGGATGATTCCATTTAATATTATTTTTCTAACTTAGACATAACAGATGCTTCTGAAAGCACTTAAGTTTTGTAATTTACTTATCCTAGAATACTGCACTTATTTTTCTTTTGCTAAGATTTTGTCCCGATCTCCTCACGGGTTTTACTTGGCAAGGTTTTTAACGATGCAGTCATTTATATATACTTATTTGTATTATCTCAATTCAATAAAATCACATCTTTTCGGGGCATATGATATATTTTCTTTTTTTTAAAATTAAATATTACAAAAAAATTTAAAAGGGCCAAGGCCGGCCTGTGAAGAGTCTGGGCCCGGGCCCGACCCTTGTGGACGAGAGCCTGGGCTAGTGTTGGGCTTAAGGATCTTCTCTCATGTGATTTTGATCAGATTCAATGATTATAAATCAAGGAGGCCTACCTAAGAAACCCCCGGAAGAAAAATTTTACAAGTAGTGCAAGAAAATGAAGCTAAAGAATGAGAGTTGCTTTTATAACCATTGACATTTTCTTCGGATAGTGTACATGTCGTGTAGTAAGTACTCCAAGTTCTATGCATAAAAACCACTAAACTTGAGCTTTCTCAACGTTCAAAGGAACTAATTCTAGGTTCTCGTGATCTTCCTCGTCTATGGACGTGGAATTTTTTGTCAAAAGATCGGAAGGGATCAAAACATCAGATTGACCAGCCTTGGGAACTAAGAATATAAAAGCCAGAGTCGAAAACCTCAAAACGTTCCTAATTAGAACGACCAACCACAAGTTTGTAAAGTCAGTTCTTGTGACATGGAGCAGATGAAGCACCATTCCCCCACCCCACTTGGAGGACAGCCCGCCGAGGCTGTCAATGCACATCAGCAGCGCAAAGAACGTGCCCTCGATGCCCAGAGGGCAGAGCCTGCTGCTCAGCACAATCATTGGCATCCACCGAATCCTGCTGACAATCCGGTGGACGCATTCCTCCATGACAACAAAAAAGTAGTCGGGGATTCCGAGGGCTAAGTTCCACCTTAGGATGAAGATGAGGTCAATCATTCCGGACACGCCGTAGAGAAGTTGGGCGAGAAAGAGAATGTTTCTAAAAGGGTGGTCCTTGAGAGTCTTGTGGTAGATCAACACTCCTACTATGGATGCCATTGCACCTATCGCATAAATGATCCCCACAAACTCCTGTTCAAAGAGAGAAGCCATGGTTATAAGTGTAGTGAGGATTTAGTATTGTGTATTGAGTAGTATATGTATATTTTGTAGTTTGTAAGATTGTGAAATTTGAGTATAGAAATTACTAATTAGCTAGGACCTGAGAGAATGCGGGGCCAGCTTTAGGGTCGGTGTACCAATAAAACTGCCCTTCATGAGTACTTATACTGAGAGCCAAAGATAGGTACATGTAGAGTGATGGCTTCCACACTTGAGGGAATTTGATTGTTTTGTACATGCCTTTCATTGCCACTCCTAATTTCTCCACTGCCTGCTTAAAAAAGAAGGCAGAAATGAACATAAAAACTATGTGAAGCGTCGCGAATATGAAAAATAGTATTCAACTTATAAATCTCAATTACTCACAAAAGATGAATTTTACTAGGTTGAATCTCACCTATCCACTTATGAGTAGCGAGATTTTAATCCATGAGTATGAATAAAAATGCTCGGTACGTAAAATGGTGCATAACAACATTCAGATTAATGCTCCACGGCTAAGCAATCTTCATGAGCAAACCGATAGTGTTTAACAGGTGATGACAATTAACATATTGGGAAAGGTTATTAACTAATAAATATAAAAGCGAAATATGGCAGGGCAGAGGTAATGCAAAGGAAGAAAGATCCTTGAAAACATTTTCCGTTGGAAAAGGGGGAAAAAAAAGAATATTATTTTATACATATATATATATATATTGCTGAGTATATACATGTATATTTTGAAACATATGAATGAATAAGCAACTGAATAAGCGTGAATTGTATGCTTGCATTTGATTAACTTTTAAGAGTAATCTTACATTTCTTCTAGACGACTAAGAAATAAGAATCATCACGCCAATAATGAACATTACACGGCGTGAATTACTGAATTTAGAGGAATAACACTTACTAGAGAAATGATATTTTAATATACTGTTTTTTTTTTTTTTTCTTTTTCTTTAAAGAAAATTTAAGCTTAATTTCATCACACGCGATTCATCATGCCCAAAATGGACATTACACGTTTACCCCCTTCCGTTGACCGGAATTTCAACGCGCGACTTAAGTTAGAGTAGTAATCCACACGCATATATTCAAAAAAAAAAAAAAAGAATAAAAATGATCCGCGCCTATATTTAATATATTTATATATATATATATATAAATCATTTTCAATCCGTACCGAATTAGATATTTTTTAAAAATATATATAATGTGGAGAGATATTTATAATTTATTTAAATATTTATATATATATTTTTAAAATATATATATATATATTAAAAAATATATATTTTTAAAAATATACGTTCTAATATTTTATGTATATTTTAAGATGCCGATGTTAGTATTATTATAGCATTGTTACGGAGTTTCCATTGACCAGCAGCAGCCACTTGGGGAAAGTATTAACCGAGGGAGAGAGGACTGTCGTGTAG